CAGGAAATCAAAAACGAAAAGCAAAAGCGAATGACTTCTGTACTGTTGCTTCTTATTGTGTATCTCATAAGTGACTAAATGTCCCTCTTCTCTTAAATGGTGCTATTTTGAAATGGCAGAATATGAATACCTTTTATTGTGTGGCTCATTGTTGAGCATTACATGTAAAAATACAATCAGCCAAATTGTACATCCAAATAAATCATGATTATTTATCTAGGACTGAGGTCAGTGGTTTGTTCTAGTCCACCTTAGCCGAGTTTGAAACCGTGTCTTTAACAAATCCAGTCTGAGTCATGACCGCGTCCAATGGGGGTGCGAGACCAAGACAAGACTGAGTCTGTTACAGAAGCTCAGCAGTCGATTCCAATTCCAGAAAAACAGAAGCTCAGTTTTAGTCTTTTAATCTGAATTCAACAACTGACTGGAAATTCATTCATTCATTTTCTGAAACTGCTGAATTCCAACTGCGGTCACTGGAGCCTATCCTGGGAACAATGGGCACAGACAGGAAGCAACCCAGGGCAGTCACCAACACATTGCAGGTTGCACAACTACAGGGACAATTTATACACACAAATCAACCTAACCTGCATGCTTTCAGACCATGGGAAGAAACTGGAACCCCTGGTGAAAACCCACATGAACATGGGGAGAGCATGCAAACTGCACACAGAAAGGACACGGGACCAAACCCAGGACCTCCTGGTGAGACAGCAGCACTAAGCACTGCGCCACCATGCCACCCAACTGGAAACGTACACTGAAAACTGAACAAATTTTAAATAGTTATTTTAAAATAATATTTAAAATTCATTTAATTTTCATTAATTAAAAATTATTATTTTCAACAAGGAAATAAACCATTTATCAAACATAGAGATAACAGAAACACACCTCCACTGCATCTTGTATTAATTTTTAATTTCAATGTAACAGGATTGCATCCTGCTGAACAGACTTTAAAATTGGTTCTATAAGCAAATATGCATAAATCAATACAAAGCTCTTCTAAAGGATTCTTGTTAATTTAATGATTTTTAAATGTAATAATGTGCTTAAAGATAAAGTGCGCGCACAACTATGTAATAGGACTGTAACGGTACACGTATTCGTCGTGTAATATTCAGTACATCATTTTCATTTAGGTATGCATGATAAAACAAATGAATACATTTATGAACTAGATGTTCAACATGCTCATTATGTTTGTTATGATGTTACACTTTTGATTTTTAAAATTATTTTCTATATTGATTTTTACAATGTATAAATAAGTCTTAGGTTTTTTTCATTCGGACACCACACCAACAGACCCATTGCCTTTGATTTTCATCCATCCATCCATCAACTNTTGCTCATATTTCTTTATGACATAAGGCTTCGGTTTAAGGTGACATTTGTTAGGCATGCAGATTATTTGTCCCTCTTTTAAATTGGAGCGAGCGTGGAGCGATTTGACTGGAGCGGGAGGACATTTTACTGGAGCGAGGAGCGGTGTTGAGCGGAGCGGCTTAGTGCGAATTAGAGCGGAGGAGCGGGCGGAGCCAACAGCCTCGTGAGCGAGGAGCGGAAATTCTCACCGCTCAGCTCCGCTCACATGCTCTGATACGCAATGACTAAAATTCTTTGTAAACATGACAAGCTGAAACAAACATCCATCACCGTTATTGCTGTGCAATTTCATTTCTGATACAATGTATCACAATTTAACATATACAGTCCATATTGTTTTAAGACTTTCAAAATACAAGTAAACATTATTTTTAGCTATATGAATCAGAATGAAGTTGATTAATCACAGCTAAACCAAAAAGGCATGTGTGATCTTTTTATGTGATGACCAGGTATAAGGAGAATGCGATGAGACTGTCAAGGATTCAACACGACCAGCCGATGACCCCACTGGACCAAGCGGTGTTCTGGATCGAGTTTGTGATCCGGCACAAAGGAGCCAAGCACCTCCGCGTGCAGGCACACAACCTGACCTGGTATCAGTACCACAGTCTGGACGTGTTGGCCGTGCTGCTAACCACGGCGGTACTGGCGGTCCTCCTCTTCCTCACAACCTGCAGGTTCTGCTTCAGGAAGTGCTGCAGGAAATCAAAAACGAAAAGCAAAAGCGAATGACTTCTGTACTCTTGCTTCTTACTGTGTATCTCGTAAGTGACAAAATGTCCCTCTTCTCTCAATGGTACTATTTTGAAACAGCACAACTTAATGAATTCATTCTCCTTGTGTGGCTTATAGAGCTCCATTAAGATGTAAATGTAAAAAATGCAAACAGCAGCAAATGCAAAATGTGCATGCAAATAAGGCACGATTATTTCTCCAGGACCTGAGGTCATATGTATAATGAGGGTAGGATTACCGCAACAATCTGATCGCCTACATTATCCCACAGGACTCCTCCTTCATTGCAGATCTAATTCACACTATTGTTAAATAAACAGTTTATGATCCTGCAAGTTTCCCTCAGCAAATTTTAATATGGTCCTCCAATTTGGCAAATTTAATCATCAGCTGCATGTGTGTGTGTATGTATATATATATATATATATATACATCCAGAGGCCCATGGATTTGCATCCCTGGATAAGGCCCTTACACCTGACTGCTCTAGGGGTGTTACAATCTGGGTGACCCTAATCTCTCACCCCAAACTTTCTTCACTTGTATGATGTTTTGGAAATAAACAAACAGACGGTTGTCGACAGGTGTCCCTTTGTGCTTTTAGGGACGGGCTCTAATCTCACCACAGTTAAGCACTGAATTTGTACATTTTTAAAGCAGTCTTCCTCTGATCACAATCCCTGCTGCAGCATAACTTTATTCGAATTAACATAGTTATCACAGGTTTGAGTCAAAATGGTAGTTTTGGAGTCCCGTCAATACAATCTCTGATTATTACCCATTTGTTACCTTCAGCTTAGCTATAAACTGCATATTCTACCCCATGCCAATATAGCAGGAAGAGATGAACTACTGAGAAACAACATAGACGTGCGCATTTAAGCAGAAGTTTATTTTGAAATGCTGAATACCAAAACATTAGGTAGAAACATGAGGACATTAAGAACTACTGTAAGTCTTGCATTGGGAATTTTTCCGCAACATGAACACTTCAGTTTATATAAATTAGTTCTGAAATGTTTATTCCCTTCCAATTGGCAATATTCTCTCACAATCAAATGATGAATACTGCAAAGGCACATGGAAAATAACCCCAGGGCAGCTTCTAGGGTTTTGCAAATTAATTTGTCTCCACACTGACTACAGAATTTGTATTTAGCATAAACCAAATGCTTGATATTTCTGTAACAAGGGAATAGGTCTTTTGCTGAATGTTTATCAAGCAGATAACTTGTGCATTATGAGAAGTCCATAAGAACAGGAGCATTGCTACACAGTTTGCTAGGAGAACATGAGCCGTGTTTGTCCATCACCACGACCGGGGATTCTTTCATAGGTCAGTTTTCTCTTCGCCGCATGCGGTATAACTGATGAAACAGAAGCAAAAGTATGGTAAATAAAACATCCATCCATCTTCCATACCAGTACAGGGCTGCTGGGACATAAAATATTAATACTGGCTTACGATTCACAGATCCCGCTTGCAGAAGATCAAGCATTTAGGTTGAATACCAAAAGCAGATAAAATACAGGCTACAGTTAGATTACATACAGCATCTGAAATAGAGTCAGTGCTGCTTTTTATCTGTAGCACCAAATTAAGGTGCCTATTATGGCTCATATAAAAATATTTATATTTTGGTTTCTTGGTACCTTCTGTCACATCTTCCTTTTCCATCCCTTCTGCACTCCTCTTCCCTGCCAGCCCCCTGTTGAAACACCCTTTCCAGTGGACGGTGATGTCATTGGTAGTGTTCACTAGGGAGGTACTGGCCCTCCATGGGGGGCCTGTAGGGCGGGGCAGAAACAGCTCCTGTGCATATTTTGGGGGCAGAGAATTATGGCCTGTTTGAGCAGCCATTTGGAAAGGACCTTCCACAGACAGACCATGGGGGTTAGGGTCATTGAAAGGCCAGCTCATCTGCTTAAGCAGGGCTGTGCATTTCATGCTTGATTCCTTAGGTTCCTGTGCCATGCAGGAATCCCTGCTCGTAAGGAAACGGCCTTCAAGGTCTGCAGCCGCTCCTGAGCCACAACCGAAACCAAGTTCAAGCGCCACTCCCTCATCCTTCAGACTAAGTGAGCTACTGGCATCGTAGGCCCCAAAGTCCGCTGGATAGAAAGTTCCAGGTGAGAGGAGTTCATCTTCCCTTCCAGGGGCCCCAGGACTTAAGAAGAACCCTGATGGAGGTTCCGGGGACTGGCACATGATCGGCGGGAACAACGCTGCCGTCTCGCTGAAAAGCTAAGCAGACACATGATCAACAGAGAAACATCTAACAGTGCTCTAACACAAGGTTGCAAAAAAGCTCTGTACACCTGTGGTACTCAGCACTGTAGGGGCACTGCCACTTACAGTAATACAGGCATCCACCAGTTTATGAACATTCACTTCATGCCACTTCACCTTTATAAAGGGCCTACATTAGTACATAAGCAGGCATTTCTCAGAACGTATCCCTGTTGTTAAGCGATGTGCGACTGTATTGATTCTGGTAAGTAAAACTACACTGTAAATACTTTATTTCTAGTAAATACTATATTTCCACTTTATACAGGCTGTGCATTTATCACATCATTCCTGCTTTTACTATATGTTAGTTATTTTAGGTTTTACGTTATTTGGTATGTGATAGATCATTTGTTTGGTCTTGAAACTGTGTTCCCCTTATAAATTAATGGTAATTGCTTCTTTGCCATTTTGGTTTATAAAAGGTTTCATAGGAACGTTTTACTTTCAAATAGCGGGGGATATCTGTATTGAAGTAAGACGGACGCTCAGTATTACAGAAGACTGGGTATTCAATACGCAGTAGTAAACCTGAGAGAGACTGCTACCGTAGCCTTGGGAGGCTGATAAACAGGCGCATCTTTTGACAGTCAAAATACATGGTGGTGAAGCTACGCAGAGAAGACATGCAAACCAACATGATTTTCACTGTCAGTAGTGATGCTAAGCAAAGGACCAAAATGCTCCTGTTTTCTTATCCAACTTATTCCCAGCTTTCATAATATCCTGCATGAATTATGGGCGCCACTTCCACCCTTGTCACACCATTGAACCAGATCTGCCAAGTGATAAGAAAATAAATCAATTTGTGGGAACAAAACCTTTTCAACCCCCGAAAGGTGACTATGTTGTCAGACCTCTGTCTTCTACAGTCAATAGATGGGAGGATGGCATGGAAAAGCCCCCTTGGTCAATAACAACACTTAATTGATCTCTTTCTGGAATCTCTTCCTGCTGACCGCATCTTGCTCTCCGTGACACACACGTGGGAGAGAGCAAGCTTGGCAGGGAAGGGCAGCCAGCTGCAGGGGCGTCCATGGCGCTGGGGGTTAGGGGCCCATGGACATGTGACCGTTTTGTTGAAGCTGGGCTTGAACTGCCAACCTTCTGATCATGGGATTAGAGTCCTGGCATAACATACTGTAGTTGCTCACCACCGTCGCCCCAGGTTTAATCAGAATAGTGTGAAATACAGTTTTACTGCAGTTGTCAATTTTTAAAGTAATAATTCCCTAAATTTCAAAATAAAGTAATAATAGAAACAAAGCAGTTGGCATGCTAATGGTTCTCTGCTTTAAATGTTCTTTAACTAATAAATGGAAAGCTATGTTATAGTTCTCCTTTTTTTGCTGATCCAAAAAATGAGTAGATCCATGATGCAATGGAAACTGTGGCTTTTGTGATCCATTGCACCCCTAATATACAGCTTCTTCATCGAGTCTGTTGCAACTAATGGTAAGATACTGAAAAATCTTTAAAGCTCTGAGGCGTATTGATATCTCCACGGCAACAAGGTTGGACGTGTTTTGTTAAACGGAGGTGGAAACAGCTTTGCTTCCCTCGATTTCTTATCAGCAAAGTGATGTGAACATACTGAGAGTGTTTTCGGTGGGTCTCCTCAAGTTTATGTTCTTCAGGCAGTTTCGCCTCGATTCATCATGTTTTCGCAGGCAGTGACAAGTGTACAAAGACAGCTTCAGTGCCTGTTTGTTTTTGGTGCTTGATCAAAGCATTGCTGTTTAAGCCACACATTTAGCATAGCTCGGTTATTAGCTCTGCCACGAATGGTGCAACATGTTCCTGAGCTCCATAATAAAGAAAGAAATTCCCCCAAAAATAAATAAAAGTAACACCATACATGTTAGACGCATTTGAATGGGCCGCTATGGGCGGCTAGTTACTTGAAAGCATCATAAGTTGTTGCTGCTGCTTCACTGAAAGTTTCACCCACACTCATTTCCACAGCAGCGCCGCCAGGACTATGGTGGATACTTTTGCTGATAAATTTCAAGTTAGCGAAGTAGCTGGTTTGATTGTATATCCGTAGTACCCTTTACAGGAACTGTACCTTTCAGTCTCAAGGTCAGTTTCATTTGTGATGATGGTTAGAGATGTATGGTCACCTTGATCACTTTCTCAGGGACCTCAGGAAGTAATCTCCGGAGATCAGGGAGAGGAGCCGTAAGAAGCCAGTGAAGGCTTGGGGCTCGGGATAGCATCAGCTGGGCAACCAGTGGGGAGATGCTAGGGAAACGTGTCAGCCATTTCTCCTCCTGGCAGGGTATAGAGAACATGTCAGCCATTTCTCCTCCTGGCAGGGTATAGAGAACATGTCAGCCATTTCTCCTCCTGGCAGGGTATAGAGAACATGTCAGCCATTTCTCCTCCTGGCAGGGTATAGAGAACATGTCAGCCATTTCTCCTCCTGCACAAGGTATAGAGCAGGAAGTGATGAACACTGATGAATGACAGTTCCCTCTTAGAAACGATAAAGTGCTTCACCAGGTGATGTTTACCGTCACGAAAAACATGAATGTTACAGGTAATGTGATGAAACAGCGCACAACAGAAACACACAGTCCAAATATACAGTGCAAACACAAGAACCTCTAAGCATCATTGCAAAAGGAAAGCACACTGCTCTCACATTATGAGCCTCTGCCTATTCATTGTGCAGTGATGTCCTTGTACCTGAGACGCCAGCACCGAGAGCCAGTCTCTGTCTAGCCAGGTGATGGGATCTCTGCCAGAGGTCATCAGGGTGTGGTGAGCAATGTCATGCATGCATCTGGCCAGGTCTGCCATTCCAGTCACAAACAGCACCTGTGGACTTACAGAACCCAAATGAGCTGTGGAGAGGACCCTTCACCATATTTGTTTCACGATGCATGACAATTAATGTACAACATGATCCTGGTGTCCCAACACAGTAGAGTATTTTAATGGTTTACTACCAAAGGTCAAAGGCCACAGTATCACTTGTATCCCTGTTAAGAGTGCATTTCAAAAACAGCCACTCTCTTGGGATTTTCACACACAAATTACAGCGTTTAGAGTTTACAAAGAATGGTGCAATAAATAAAAACAGTCAGTGGCAGTTCTGGGGGTGAAAACACCTTTTTAATAAAATAAGTCAATGAGGAAGAGGGTCAGATTTGTTAAAGTTAACAGAAAGGCCACAAATGAAAAAAAAAACAGCTCGGTACTATAGGGGCATGAAGAATGGCTTCTCTGAATGCAGAACTGGTCAACCTCTGAAGCAGTTCTGGAGGCAAAAGTGTGTTTTACTCAGCAGTAGACAAGCTAGGGTGACCAGATAATCCATGTCAGGGAGGACACTTTGAGCTACTTCGGATTTTACAAACTACTTTCAAATTGAAAGGCTCCTGTGCTCGACTAAATAGTTCAGCTCTTCTTGTGCTTTGACTGGTTTGTTTCCTTGACTGAAAGACTCATCCAGCTGTTTCACATTAGCACTAGTGACACATGCATGATTATAGGAGACTGACCAATCAGCACACAGCAAGAACTCAGTGCTCAAGTGAAATCCAGGTCCTTTTAATTGAAATGGTAATTTACAATTCCTGTCCTAGCTCAGAGTGTCCTCCCTGACATGGATTATCTGGTCACCCTAAGACAAGCATATCTAAAAACGTGACCACTGACTGTATTCTAAATGTGATTATAACACCTATAATTTAGCATAAGTGATTCTGAACATATTGTACCTTGACACCCATGTCTTTCGTCTTCTCCCCAAACCATGAAAGCTGCGAGTAGATCTGAGGCAGGTTTCTGAAGACCTCACTGGTACAGTTGTACCTTCCAAAACAATTTAGCCCACCAATAAAAGCACGCTGGCTGAGAATGCACCCCGGTTGAGAATTTTGTTAATTTAATAGTTAAACCGGAAGAAAAAAATTATCTTTACTGGATAAAACATGGCTCACTAATCCTACCCCAGGCAGTTCCGATTTTACCTTGTCAACAAATTCAAAACATCCTGTCTGGTTCACTTCTTGGGGGGTCATTAATCCTAGGAGTTTATTTTGGATCACCAGCAGTTAACTGTGCAACTGGCATCTCTACCATTATAAAACATGAAACCTTCTTTTCACACCAAATGACAAGCTACATTTACAAACAAAAAACTACATTTACAATCAACCAAAGATCAACAACGTTTATTCTACTCGAACAAGACAACTGAAACTTAACTGGCATGCTTCATGTCTGACGCATGTGTTTTGCATTTCATGGATAACTCACCCAGAGCTATGATCCTCGGGGCAGAGCAGGAGGACCCAGCAGTGGCTGTACTGCAGAGAGAGGGCTGTCAGTCTCCGTACCATGTGCTCGGTGATCTCATCTATCCTCAGTGCTTCCAGCTCCTGTACTGCAGAGATTAGGCTGTCAGCCTTGGCATCACGCGAAGCCCTTTCCATGCTTAGTGCCAGGTGATATGGCCATTTCCCAATCAAAATCTCATCCTACATAATGAACACAGGTTCTGCTGTTATAGACGAGACGCTTCTGCGTTACTCCTGTATCGCAAGTGCATTATTGCACTAAACTGTGTATCAAAAAAAAGCGATAAAAATAATGCATGGCACACTGAGAATATAAACCATAGTTCCACTTTAGATATTCATCATGTTTATATCTGCACATTAAATGCATTTACTTAGCAGACATATCTAACCAAAGTGACACAAGGCGGGGGGCCCCACTATCACCCAATCTGAGCTCAACTATTACTCTACACACAAACACACCCATATCTAGGAGTCAGGTGACCCACTCGCCTGCGTGAAAACTGCTGTGCTCTCATCCACTGTGACCACAGACTGACCCTCTTGTCTGCCCAGCATCTGAGGAGAGGGCTGGATGCTCCTCTCCAGCAGGGTCATGCCGTACCTGCAACAAACAAAGAGCTCCACGGGTGTGTTTTCAAGCCCAAAATGTAAATACACCAACATGTTAAAACACCTCTATACAATAACTGGAAGAACAGTAATAAATAATAAATCCTACAAATGTTTAATTTCAGAGTGTTAAGAAACATGAGGAACGTCACGGTAGGTGACTCACGTAGACTGTAGGGTCTGCAGCAGGTCCTCACTGCGAAACAGACTGCCTGCTGCCAGCAGTACGAAAGCGATGTCCAGCTCCACAGCGCGGTCAGCCTGGGTTGGGTCTGCAGGGCTCACCAAGATACGAGGGGGGGGTGGATCCATACACAGACAGACGTACGCACAAGCACAGACATATTTATGCACCCAAACGCATCCACAGGAAGAGCGCCCATATGGTCACTGATAAAGAACCTCTTAGCTTTAAATATCTTGAATGGGCAGATGCAGCACAAGCTTCCTGTGTGAGAAGCTAAAGGTTTCATTTGGTTTTGTGGGGGTGGTGTGGGGCTTTGTGTCTGTGATAAGAGACCCTTAACCCTTCGGGGATTGGTTAACCCTGTTTTCTGATCCTTACTTTAAATAGAAATGTACTGCAAAAAAGAAGTAAAAATGCTTCATTTTTCATGGATACTAACCAACAACTGGAATAATGGTCCGGAAAGTCATGTGGCTGATGGCCGTCTCCCGGCAGAGAGAAGCCCAGGCTGAAGACTCTGAGCTGTCATACTCCACTACCAGGGAGAGGCAGTCCCAGGGAAAGCAGGGACCAATGTGGGAGCTGCTGATCACCACACACCAACTCTCCTGCAAACTGAGCCGCAAACATACTCTCACCTGAATCCTTTTGCATTCAGAAAAATTACTCTGGACTGTCTGAATGGCAAACGCCCAACTGTATAACCTGCATGAAGGTTTACTACTGTGTCATTCTGACCACTGTAGCTGTACGGCTTCGACAGCAACACAGGAATTTTTAATTTATTAATATCCTGGTTGACCATTTTGCACATATCGTGTGGAGAAGAGTGCTAACATCCTGCTTGGTTTAGAAAGGAAGACAGTTTAATTTGAATGACGCTGCAATCAGTGTGGCGATATTGAGAGGTCATAGGTCAGGAGTGGCGTGTCACCTCTTGCTCACTCTCTGACCATCCAGCTTCCTGCTCCCCTCTTCTGGATAAAGGAATGACACAGGGACACCTAGAAGCCAGAGAAACATAAAGGAAAGTTGCAGTATTGAGATAAAACATGGAACATTTTGAGTCCCCACTGGGTCTGGCTGAGGACGACAATGATGCGTTAACGAAAGGGATCATCATTTAGATTTAAAGCTGCCCCATGTAACCAAAATACACAAACGACCATGGGTCAAGCTACACTTTGATGCTAGAAGATCAATGTGATTGATGTTTCCTGCAGCCTTCATTATGGCGTTTTTCTTTTAATTAGTGTTCTAGCTAATGTTACCACGCTTCAGTTTGCACATAATTGATCATCCCCCCACTATACAGATGTGCTCACAATGTCCCCCCCAATATATATTACAATTACGGCCTTGCCCCCACCCTCAATGTTGACTCCATGGCTACAGCCTTGCTATGAATGCAAATCCAATACAAATCCCAAGACCTCACGTAATCGTAAATGTTGTGTCCACATTTCCAACCTTTCACCTACTTCTTTCTATACATATGCAGGATTTGGTTCTATGTATCTATTTATTTTCTTGGTTGCTAACATTGCGCGACACCATGACTTCCTCGTAAACAGAAAATATCCTGTTTTTAGCAAACCGGACTTGCAGCCTAATCAGAGGGACCATGTGAATTCAGCATTTTACCTGTGATCTGACTAAGCGTGTCATAAACCTCAGCCCTTACACAGTCTGTGTCCATGGCGAGGATGACAAGAACCTGCAAGAAACAAAACAGAAGCACAAAGTAAGAAGGCGTTCTTGGAAACACTTAAGACATTCTGTCTGGAACCTAAAATTAGGGGATTATGACACATGTGACCAAGCCTTTCAAGTCTAACTGGGCGCGGCATGGTGGTTCGGTGGGTAGCGCAGTTGCTCCATACCTCCGCCTGTGTGTGTGTGGAGTTTGCACGTTCTCCTCATGTTACACGGACTTCCCCATACTGTAGGTATTCCCCTTTACTCCCACGGTACAAAGACACGCAGTAAACCAGGAGTCTCTAAATAGGCTCGATTCTATCCCATCCAGTGCATCACTCAGTCGTGTGCTACATGGGACGGAGTTCTCCTGCAACCGTGACCAGGATAAATGGTTGGAAGACAGATGGATTGATGGATGATTTAACTGGGTGGACTGGGCAAATATGATTACGCAACTGGGGCAGACGTGGTTGGGTACTTCAGGGAGATACACGCAGTCGGCATGGTGACTGACTTTAGGAGGAGGTATCTGAGTCCTGTTCCTCAGCCACCAGGCCTTCATCTCCTGCTCCAGCTGAGCTGCTTTAGGGTTCGGCTCTCTGCTCCTCCAACTCAGGTACTGCACCACACGCAGTCTGGTCCACAGCGAGTGCAGACAGCCTCCCACATCTGCTGTCCGTGCTTCATCAAGGTAGTCTGTTTGAGTAGGGCCAGAAGGGAGCAAGACTGAAGGTTAGGGCAGCCACAGCAATGCTCCACCCGCTTTGGATGACAGTCTTCTAATCCGTTTTACTGATGTTTGTCCACCTTGTTTGCTTCAATGTCCCTTTGTATAAAGAAAGTGACCTGAATGGTTCTCATAAAGAGAAAGGTAGATGGCTCAATACAGAACGTAGCTAATATTTACAGCAGTAAAAATAGAGTATTGTCTAGTTTTCTAAGAGCAGCACCCTGGTCAGCCTTTGAAGTGCCACGTTGGAATACAGCTCAGTTAGTTTAAAGGTGCCTCCTTTCCTGCGGCTGCCAGGTTAGTCAAACTCCCAATGCACACATACCGACAGCAGCACTGAGGTCACAGGTGAGAAGCAGGTCTCTGGCTGTAACCAGCATGTGTATCAAGCTCAGTTCTTTGTGCATATGAACGCCTTTCTCACTGGACTCTCCTGAAATGCACACATACCTTAATGCAATTAAAGATTATTAATGGCGTCACTAGCAAAATTTCATTAGATTCATTTGATGCTACTGTATGTTCATACTAGGGATACATATTCTTGCCAAAATAATTACCATTAAAGGCACGTACATATTACAGCACTAATATCAAGCATTCTCCAGCTGCTAATCCACTGGTGTCATGGAGACCCAGGAGCCAAGCCTAGTGAGTGGATGTGTGAGGCGATACCTATTAAGCTACTGTAGAACCTTATTACTGTCATTGTTCCTGTTGGCACATTATAAGTATAATATATATATGACATAGATAAATGTATGTATGTGTGTGTGTTCAAGTTCACTTTTTTATTGAGCACCAAACTAAATTGTATTTGCTATGATCAAACTGACGTATGTAAGCCAATGTAAGTCTGCAGAGCATAAGGATTATACACAGTAAGAGTACGACAGCATCTATCCTCTGACTACTCACCTTGCATCAAGCACCTGGTGAGCTCTTTTTCCTGTTGCCTAAGGAGGAACAGGGTTTGGTCTGAGGACAGGCTATGGAAATCAGTCTGACTCCCCATGGCACAGGAATTGCTGTTTGACAGGCAGGACATTGTCACAGCCCGGAGCTCTTGAAACGCCTGTCTCTGGCTCTCTGAACACAAAGAAACAGTCACCTGAGTAGCACTGACTCTCAGTACAGACAGACTCACAGTCACCTGACCAGCACTGACTCTCTGAACCATACACAAACTCAGTCACCTGACCAACACTGACTCTCTGTGCTGTACACAAATAAACAATGCCACAGCAGTCTGACACCTGATGCCTGCACAGCAATGACACGACTACTGCCTCTGCCCTTAGCTGTAGTTGCATTGCAAATGTCTTTGGCTCCTGTGCTGTCTCTGTCTGATATTGTACACACTGGCTTCTGATTGGGCTCTAGTTTCTGTCTGGGAGCTGGAAAAGACCGGCACACTACATTGAACTCTTCAGATAGCTTCTCTTCCTTATTTTCAGTTATGTCCTGTTTTACAAGTTCAAGAAAAATACCCAAAGATTCAGGGATACAGCTGGCTTTCTGCAAATAAGTTTTTCTACTGCCTTGGATTTAAAAATGACTAAAACTATTACATTGAAAATAATTCAAAATTAGCTTTCTGCAATCAACATCTATATTTACTAATGTGGATCGTTAGTCTTTCAGTCATAAGACCAGTTCCATAGCAGGTCCGGGAACTGTTGTCTTACCTGGTTCTGCTGGATGCTCTTGGTTGACAGATTGGTGCCACTGCTGGGACCGGAGCATCATGAAGGTCTGCAGAGGGTCTAGATCCTTCCGAGTTGTCCAGGCTGTGTTTCTATTAGGAGTCTCCATTCCACAAGCTCTGGCCAGGGTGGATGTATTCTTTCTCTCCAACCCCCCCACTGGGCTAGACTCTGTTCTGTGAGCTCTAGGTATGTTAAGTATGTTCTGACTTTTAGGTCTGACTGGTAGACTGACTTTTGCACTGTCACTCATGTCATCCAAGTCCATATCTATATCCAAGTCTTCCACACCTTTCTTGGGCTGCTTTATATATTCTAAGTGTAAGAGAAGCAAGTCAATAATCCAACAGTCACAACATTGATTTTTACAGACATTTAAAAACCCCAACCTTAATTACTTGCCATTAATTAAAGCAGGTCATTTTCTCACTAATTCTTGGACTGCCAAGACAGGATTATAATACGGTTGTATTCTATAAATGGTAAGATGATAAGATGACCACAAGTTTACTGTTAAAAGATCATGAATAAGACAAAATAAAGTTTATCCTGACAGAAAAGACCAAACTGTTATCTACCCTTATGATTAAGTGCACAAATGTATGTACATCCATTGACTGAATGACTGCGAAGTCACATAAACCAGGACCTACCCGACTCATCACTCGATTCTGTTAGAATATCTGTTGATAGGTAAGACAAACATAGTAAATGTTGTGCTACTTCTGAAAATTTATATCCAAATGATCAGAATCATGATCCGTTGTTTCTAAGCATCATATGTAGCGGGTTCGTGGCAGATGTAAGTTTAGTTCACTCACAATCAATCTGTCTGAAGGAGAAAACTGAGAAATCTTCCACTGGGGCAAGAACAGTGTCTGCGTGGATCTGGTCTACTGGGGTTGTCTTCTCCACACCCAGGTCCGGGTTGAAGTTCAGAATGAAGTGTTCAGTTTCGAGGTGTCTGTGCACCTCGATAAACCGCTTGATGTCCATCAGTTCTGCAGCTTCCAGAAGGGGTGGGTAAGGCTTTGCACGGCGACACACCTGCGGTTCTGCCAGATGATAGGTGGATGCGGTCATATTTACCGCTCCCAATACATCATCGCACTGATGACAAGAAAAGTTTTCTCGTGATCCGTGTTTCTTGAGTCAAAGGTCATGTTCTCAGTAGTGTGGGTGCATCTGTGTAAATAAGTGCTGGGGAGACAATATTTCTCAACCACAACAGGACTCTTGTAATGAAATATTTAGAAACCCTGGATTGCCTAGATGTGCAGAAAATAAATCAAAATTTAAAGCTCCGGAGATTATATATCTGTTATATGTGCATGCTTATATTTATGCTTAACATGAAGAAGCTTTTCTCATTTGCCTCATTTGAATTCCCTGTAAGTAATGAAGTGATTGAATATTCTTTATAATTCAATATGTACAATGTTGGAAGGGGAAAAGCTGATCAAGAGGATGATCCACTTGTCCCTTGGCTGCATTAAACACAGTTGGGTTTTGTTTGCTCTCTTTTCCAATAATCCTCCACAGACTGTAATTACCATCTGTGAGCCTATGACTGCTAACAGATGCTTTATAGATTGGCTAATACAATAGGTAGCATGAATCCCCCAGCCTGGTTTCACTCTGGGCTGTGGGTCATCCATCGTGCCTCAATGAGGACCTCTGAAGGCCCTTACCTGCCAGCAGCAGGTCCAGGATGGAATAGTGATGTTTCTCTGCTTTCCACAGGCCCTCCATTGCAGCTCTACCACCATCATGCAGAAGGTCACTGCCAGTCCACCACATCACAACAGTAACCGAAAAAGTCAGGCAATAGAGAACAGAGTGGAACGCAATTAAGATATGATCCTCCATCCATCATCCAACTGCGTATCCTGGTCAGTGAGTCTGAAGACTATCCCACGTAGAACAGGGCACAAAGCAGAATGCCAGTCCATGACCATTATACTCAAACATACAATCGCTAACTGGTATAAAGACATCCACATACTGGTCAACCTCAGGATCCAAATACACCCACACTGGTATGAGTTAAGGACGTTTTCGCAAAAGATGGTTTGGAACCTATCGTACTGATTTCTGAATATAAATATCAGTCTCTGCTTTGATCATCGTGCTCAGCGCTTCTCGGTCTGTGCGACGCAGAGCAGCATCTCTCATTGACTCACAGACGATCTTCTGGTGACAGTGTCTCCTTCTGAAGCTGGAGGCAGCTGGTCCTGGGCTGGGGGAGGCAGGGTGGGCATGGAGGTCTGAGGGGAACATCCAGTTCCAGGTTGGGCAGGAGGATGAGACAGGCTGAAAGGAAAGAATGAAGAGCAACGCAACCCACTTACTGGGAGACAAGCTGCTTATTTTTTCATTGCTATCTTAAGCCTGGCTGTATTTTCTACCGTAGATTACCCACTGGAGACCAGCACAGCAGGGAGAACATGAAAACGCCACATGAACAGAGCACAGGCAGGATTACAATCCCCAAAGCTGATGTGAGGTAACTCACTTAGTCATCGGGCCACCCCAGCAGCAGAACAAATTTGTTAAAAATTTATATCAAATTAAACCTAATCTTGCCATTTCACCGTTGGGTGGCAAAATACTTCTGACGTAATCAGTGAAACACAGGTAAAATTCCCCCATTCATTATCTACAATCTTCTTGGTTAGCAAATAAATATTATGGTTCACCTTCTATTTAGTTTCCAATTCAAAGTCCAATTCAAAAGGAAATCATCCCATTGGTTCAATTCAGGACCCCCCAGAGCTTAGACTGAGACACATAATAAACTGCACTGCTTACTCATAAGCCATTTTCACACATGAACTCTGGACGTTATCCGGAGAATCAGATCTGGACATTTTCCAGAGTTTCCCTTCCACATATGTGCTACACAACCAAAGATTGTCAGTGTCAGATGCGTTCACACCGACTAGAAATACTCCATTTGGTTTAGATGGGGGGGTGGTGATTGTGTAGAGCATGCAGGAAGCAGGGGCATGACGCAAAAAGAATGCTGCGGAAATCACAGTGTTTTGTTTACAGCACTAGTGACAGAAGTTCCCAAATCTCGTTGTCTCTCCAGTTAGCCATGTTCGTTGGGGGTCTTCCTGTAAATAGCCCTTCTTCTACAGCCTCAAATGTTTGTATTCTTCAGTTTTCATGCCAGTCGCATGATAGAAATGTCATCAACACACCCAATCACTCGTGGTGAATTCCCCGCAGTTCTCCCTGTCACATTCACACGTGAGGATCAGTTGAAAATAAGTCAAACTTTGTACCATGGAGCTCACAGGGTAAAGTCCGTTTATTGTCCGGTACAACTGATTTAGACAATTGCATTCACATACACAGCTCCTCCCGGGTAGAAAAGTTCAGGGGGCAGTGCAGTTCTGAAAGGGGCTAATTACTCATACATGTATCAACTCAGGGAATGGCTATAAAAAAATCCCACTGTGTACCTGGAGGAGAAGAAAGAACTGGTGATTCGACTGCCAAATCACGGCTGGTTAGTTCATTGGGCATGTCATACAACTCTATCCTCATTTGGACACTTGCAGCTGTATCTAAAATGAGGAGAAGAAAAAAGGTCAGATTATTCTAAAGGTAATGCATACACAATTAACATCATGACCATATAATTGTGCATAATGTCATGGTGCAACCATTTGCTTGGGGTCATGCCAATTCACTCGCTTTCCCACAAAATTGCCCCGTTGAGGCAACAGGGCCTATGGCAAAGTCAAAATTAAAAACCTTATTGCAAGTTTTGGTGTCACTATAAAACAAGTGGAGACTCATCATGCAGTGGTACACCCTGGCTGTGATTTCAGACCTTTGCAGGATACAGGCACACACACACACACACACACACACACAGACAGACAGACAGACACACACACACACTATGGGCAATTTATAGATGCCAATCAGAGTAACTGCATGTCTTTGTTCTATGGGAGGGATCAAGAATAGCTGTGAAAAAACCTGCATACTGAATGCAAAAGAACATGCAAACTCCACATACAAATAACAGGTGGCATTCAAACCTTCGTCCCTGGAAGTCAAGCCACAGTAAAACTTAACAAAATAATCTCTGCAACAACCAGAAGCCCACAGAATCAATCTGTTTAATCTTTCTTCATTATGATTATTATTGTACAACCTGTGTACATTCAGATTAAAATATGGTTATTACCAGTGTTTCCCCTACCATTATGTTAGGGGAGCGCTCCGCCCCCCACAACGGCACCTCCCGCCCCCTCTTGAAGGGCAAGTTAATTTTATTTTCTATATAGCACCAGATCACAGCAGAAGTCATTTAAGTTTATCTTTCTTATAGAACAGGCCTATACATTGTCCTTTTATTAAACAAACTAAATAGCCTTATGTTATTTATCTTATTTACACAACAGCTTGTCATTTTTGTCTCTACACGGTCGCATGTTTACAATTCTCCTCTGCTCTCTGTATCGCGCATGGCGGAGTTCTGCCCCAATGAGCGTGCACAGACACGTGCACACACACACAGGTGAGCACACTCCCACCAGCGGACAGGGATCGCGCGTCGGAAAATATGTCACGTCAACCACCCAGTCAGCAGTGTAAAATGGGAGAGGGACTTCTCAGCCATGAACAGGGTAATAGATACGTTTCACAATGGGATTTTCTGCTTTAAACTATCACTATTATAAGCTATCACTTTTAAAGCCTAAGAGTTAATGTATTTGCAGGTCAAGATAGACATCCAAATATGCTGCATAGAGTCCATCTTGCAGCCTGCATGCGGATCTCAGTAAATGGGTCAGACGTTTCTGACTTCCCATATCAAGAGGCTCTAGAAATGTTCTTCCAGAAGCCCAGAAAGATACACTGCAGTGACAAAAGCTGCACACTTTGTGGATAATTGTCATAAAAAGAAATGTTTTGATGTTTAGTTCAGATGTTGACTGCTGTCATTAAGACATATACGTTTGCCCAAGCATGCATTTAATCTGAACCAGTCACAGAGTACTCAACCAGCTGAGTATTCTGTGACATTGACTCTTTTCTACTACATACTAAATTGGTTGGTTGATACAAAACCTTGGTCTGGATTTGTACTTTCTGGACCGGAACTTTCCACCTCTGTTTTTAATGGGTTACTTTTGTGAGTAACTTCCCCAACACTAAATATAAACATCCACACATATAAAAGATATAATATATAATCTATGGAGCTTTTAGTTATTTTAGATAAAAACATTAAAATCAAAACATTAATTATGAAGTCCACAATTCCTGGTATTAAATAATTATACAGTGTATAAGCGCATAAATTCTAAAAGTTCAAAAAGCTTTTCAGTTATTTCAAATATTTACAAAATCTCAACATGAACTAAATAAATGAAAAAGTCCAATAGAAAATGAGGCCACAGCATTGTTAATGTGGGGTAACAGCCAACAAATAACGATGGGTTCAAAGATAATAACCGAAAGTCATCTTTTTCTATTAACTTAACGACAAAGCAGTTTCCAGATGATTATTTTGCAATTCATAACACTAGAATTATGCCGCTTATCAATGAACAAAATTGCTGAAATTGTATTAAAATACATACTGGGTAAGTGATTAAGAAAAATCTATAAATGGATGTGTCAAGGGATACTTCAAGGGCTGGGGATCTATATGCAGAGTAAACAGAAAGTCAAGGTGAGACACAAGAATCGCGGTCGGGGACGTAAGCGATTGTCAAGAAGACGGAGAATCTACCCTGAACATGAAGGCGAAGGAAGGTACATGTGCAGATGAGGGAGACACTTATACCGAGAGAGAGGGTGGAACACGTACTCCCGGGCAGGGGATCAGGAGGAGCAGACAGGCAAAGCCACAATCGGAGGAAAGCAGGGCTGAGTGACGCTCGGTAACTGGCCATTCATCACCAACTCCTCACAACGAGGAAACAGATATGGAGGAACTGACAAAACCAGACCGGAATACAACACAGCTGTTAGTACTCGGGTGAGAGAGACTGGATGAGGTGGAGTGGCTGGTGAGAGCGGTCGGGATCCACCCTCACAGGCTGATAGATGGATGGATAGATGGATGGATGGATGGAAAAGGGGCCCCTCACCCATTCTGAGGTACTCCAGACTGGTACTACTCTCCAGTACAACTTCAGGGACAGCAGAAGTTATGTTCTGGAGGGTGCTGTACAGAGAAGGGCGAGCTGGGCTTTGGACGTGGACCTCAAGTACCACATCAAGAAGGAGACTCTGGAACAAAGGGTTCTCCTGGTGAACAATCAGGGCACCTGAAATGGCCCTAGAACATACCCTGGAAAACACTGGAGTGTTTTACAATTCAACACATTTTCAACTCCAGCAATTTCTACCAAAAAGTGACATTAAGTATATTTTTCCTTGTAGCCAGATAATACTGCACATAAAGAGGTGATTTCGGCAGGTATAAAGTCAGCAAAATCCCATCACTAACATATCTTCAACAATACATGAGAAACCACTTAGATACCTTTGAAAATACAGAAATCCTTCAAAACAGAAGGATCCTTAAAAAGAAAACTTAAAAAATAAAAACAGTGAATACATTTTGGGATCTCTTAAAACAGACATTAAACAAAAACAGTTTAGCTAAATGAAAATTACTAATTCTTCACATATTGTACTACATGTGCTACATTTCACCCTTAGTACCCAATGATAGCACGTGCTGGAGCAACACGTCTTTAATCAGTGCCAATGTCACCTTCTGTCCAAAGTACATGCAGCCGTACCTCTGTGTCTGCCAGAGACTCTGTGAGAAAATGCTCCTTTACATTGGTTTCCCCAGTCTGGGCACCTGCTGCCACAGTGTCCTGCCACGGCACACAGTCCCTGCACAGGAGATTCTCCCGAGTAAAGCGAGAATTAGCCATGTCTGCTAAGCAAGGCTCTTCAGTTTCCACCAGTGAATTGTATGATTTTCACTGATATAGATTTAATAGCAAATACAGCAAATTAAAACTGAGGTATGATATCTAAACTATTTATTTAGCTCAAAGATGAAGATCATCTGTAATTTTATATTATACAGAATATGTATGTTCCTGTGATTCATATTTCTTGGCATTAATGGCTATTTTACGTATTACAAACCGAAATTCATTCAAGAGACTTTAAAAGCTACAGGACAGTTATAACACTGCAGCTTACAAAAACCCATGGAGAACCTGTTTTATATGTTTCAAGAGACGTATAACAGTGATGCTGGCTACTTCCTATACAGGTCTGAAAATGAATGAGGATAGTCAGGGCTCTGTACCTCAGAATGCAGGGCTCTGAAACAGCCATGAGGGCTAGCAAAGGGTCTGACACAGTTAGGGTTTTCAGTCTGGTCAAAAGAACATTCAGCGATGGAAGCTTCTGGAATTTTGGTAGGAAATCAACACACAACGCCTCCTCCAAGCAGAGACCTAGTCAGGAGACAGAGTTCTTAATATAAGATACGTTCATTGATATATCTACAGAGCATATTTCTTGTTGATCTTAAAGACAAAGTATGAAACTACAAGCTAGTGCTACAGTATCCACCGTCTATTTGTGACTGGACCAAATCTACATATGTGCTTAGAAATTCTGCCGGCACAGTGGGAAAACCGATTGAAGACCAAAGGCTTGTATTCTTGGGAAATGCAAATACCATGCAAGGCAAATCAGCTTTAAAGGAATATGCAAAGGTAAATTTTGTTACTGTTTTTGGCCCACTGCACATTTTTTTGTTCTTGCTGAAAGCCGGGTAGTTACACTGGTAAGCATAAGTTGCAGGGCAAAGATAATCAGGCAAAATAAGATCTTTAAATATTTGCCATTTGATTATGTCATTTACTTACTAGTGCCCAGGTCTGAAATACTTAATTTTGCTAGTGCCAAATTAAACATTTCATGCTCAAAGCTAGCTAACAATCTTTTTTAATTGCTTATGGTCCTGTGAATGTGCAAAAATTTTGGGAACCGCCCCCAGTAATCAAAACCAGCCAATACAACCCCCTGGACCCCCTCAAATGGATGGAGACCTCAACCCCCCCAATGGTCAACCCAAAGTCATGCCCTTGTATGTATGTACAATACTGTGCAAAAGTCCTAGGGAGTCATAAGAAGGGATATTTAAATGATCACCATGCAATGGTATTTGCTTAAATTGTGTTAGCTTAACCACTTCAAAACCACCCCTAAAGTCACCCCAGTATTTGCAGAAACTGTCCAATACACCCATGTATTTTTTGACTTGACCACTAGCACATCTTCTATGGCCCATGAGATACCAGTAACTTCTTGGGGAAAAGCAGAAATTACTCTTCGTTTTTATTGTGCTACTCTTAACATGCATATATTCTGGTGTTAATCACGTTTTTGTTCTGGGCAAATATTTACTACCCAGATAAATAGCTTTAAACATTTCCTAGACTTTTGCAAAGTACTTTAGTTTGCAAAAAATTATGACAATAAAAAAAAAAAATACGACAATATAGTTCCCTCATAGTACTTAAGTTACTGTCCATGTCGTTAAGCACTGCTATGTGCTGCACATATGACTATATGTATCTCATTATATAAGTGTCTAAGATTCCCGATTGTGCATGGCTGGGCGTGCGGGAGAGAATGTCGTTTATGGACTCACTCTCATGTTGTCTTATCAGGTGTTGTTCTATTGCACCTATGCTGAAAGTCTCACACCAGGATGGGTGGTTCACACCAGTCTGGGAAGTCAGACATGCTACTCCTCCTCGAGTCGAGGAGAAACTTATCCTGAAGGAAAACATGAGTTACGCCGGGTTATAAAATGTAAAGGGTAGAAGGGGTTTGTTGCGGTTTCAGGTTTAGAAATGTAACCTAACCACCTGAAACAGGTTCAAATCTTTGAAGTAAAACAGAAATCTCAGGTTACTAATAAAAGGAAATATTATTGCAAATGTAGCAGGAATCTATTGATAACTGAAAATCCATCCATTTTCTTATTACAGGCAAAAAAAACTGGACCCCTGGACAGGATGCCCATTCAGGGCCCATCTGCACACAACATGGGCAATGTAACAGTAGCAATTAGGAGATTATTAAGATTATTAGCTATGTAAACTCAATACAGACAGAGGAGGTGTGATCTGAGTTCCTTGACCGAAGTCTATATAACGTGCATATAAGCCACCGTTTGGTTATCTGATCATATCATTTTGCATAGAATTAAACGGGAATAAAATACTAATCTGAAGCCCCCTCTGTCTCTCCTATTGCTCTGAAATTCTACACAGGCATACATAAAGTAAGTAAACTACAAATAAAATAAATAGAGATCATACCTTTCTGGAATGTCTACCACTTCTCTACTTGTGCACAAATCATCCAGCACAGATCCACCAACTGATAGCCTACAAGAGGACATTACTTTTGCTGTGGAAACAAAGCAGGTTATACAGCATTATAATAAACAATATCCCAATGATGGTACTGCTCACCTGTGGCTTGGACATGTTATATTGTTTTTTAATTAATTTACATGAGTCAATACAGTTACATTTAATTAATCTGATGGTTGTATTGTGTCTCTCTTTGAAAAGAAAACAAGGATATGCAAAAACAAACTAATTCCTATACAACTGTACCATACTGTCCTTTTTACTTTTCCACAGTATCTTTAACAAAAGATATACCTGTGATGTATGAAATAAGAAAATTAATGCTGTATGAATGAAGAAAGTTCAAAAATCAAAAATTTGTATGAAATGGATAGTTTTTACTCAGTCAGCAAAAAGCATAAAGTAACTGGATATAATACAAAAAATAGTACCTATGATGGTTTCTGTCATAAGACAAATTCGGTCATATTTAAAAATAAAACTGGGTAATTGAGATATAAGGGGGTTCAAACCCCACAATTACCTGTGGGTTACCAACCAGGTTCGTTTCATGGGGGGGATTTCAAGGCTCATTTGTCCTACCCCCAACACCCTAAATGATCATCACAAACAGTAATAATACTAATCAAGCTGTTTCTCATATGACAGTGGTGGTGTTTTGTTTCCTGGGGAAAACCTTTATGTGTGTTAAACCTTATTACTGAGAGTAAATAACGTATTATTATTATTATTATTATTATTGTTGTTGTTTCAAAGACTCTACCTCTGGTCCATGGCTCCCTAAAAGCAAGATCCGGAAGTTCTCCTGTTCGTTCTGGTAACGGGAGGGATAGCAAGCTCACAGTCAGCTTGCATCTTGTAGAAGCCTGCGTTGGAGAGAAGCTGAGTGGTTTACCCGACGATATACCATGTTTCTGATCGTCTGAAAGGGCAGTACAGACATTTAAAGAAAAAAAGGCAATGCTGTATGACATTATCCGAGACACTTAACGCGGTTCCCCCCAAAAATACTTACCTCAAATGCATAATCTATAGACTTGTATCTGACAGCAGAGAACATCTTCTAGACTGTATTGGACACGTAATTTCTCTATCAGACCTGTAATTACTGAAATGATACAGACAGAGAGACATACAGACAGACATCGATATACAGATAAAATTACGGGAGACTAACTGCTCAGCTAAAAGGTTACCAATTTCACACGAGACGTACGTATACGTATCGTTTCCTTTTATTAATAATCTTACACCACTCTGAAAAAATAAAAACATACCCAACTGGTCCCATCGAGGTTAAATTTGGATTTTTTTTGGTTAGCTAGCTAAGTCGCGTAAGTTATAGTGCTGTTGAAACTATAGGAAACTATTACGTAAAGTTAAGTACTGCTATTAGAGCTACGTTGAAAACAACAGACAAATGCTTACAAATTCCATTAAATATTATCTGTATTTCGTTAAATGATGGTAATGGGATACTTGATAAAAAAAAACTACAGCTATTTTATCAGTCAATTATTTTGTGGACATCTTAAAAAAAGTGGCGTTCGACCAAAGGATAACACTCGATGTGACTGATGATTTAATTAAAAAATTAAAAAGACCTAAATCTGTGTCGGTATTCGGATTAATTTAGGTAAATGGCAGAAATCCCCTTCGTAACGCTCCTCCAGACTTCAGATCCGTTTACCGCCATGCACTATGTGCATCTGAAACGGTGAAAATTATAGCAGCACCATTTGATCAGGGGGCGATAAAGAGCGATCGAGTGACAAAATCGGAAGACACCTCTGGTTGCATCGCGTGACATTACAGATATTTACACCGCTTTTAATATTGCACTACTTATCTTTGGAAAGAGACGCGACCTAGCTAGGAACACCCAGAGCCTGCCCTGCCTGGGTGTACTAAAGAGTGTAACGGGAGGGAAGCAAAGAACACCGGGACTCCACAATGCGGGACCCCATGCTTCGTATTGCATCACCTAACTGCCACATCAAGCAACACCGTGTTTTTTGCAAATCCGCTGGAGCAAACATGAAATGTGGTAAATGCACATGCAATCTATGCGTGCTACAGTCTACTTAAGGAAAATATTTGTTTCCCATGCTGCAATTCCATATGCTAACTCACAGGTTTAAAGGATAAGCAGGGCAGTAGTTCCTATCCTGCATCATAAACCCAGGTTTGTAATTTATTCCAGTCATAGACTGCTGCATGTATGTAAAGTCAAAATATATATTTTTAAGCAAATGTTTTAAAGAATATGAAAATATTATACATTTGTTATTATTATTATTATAAATAAAAATAATGTCCTGAAAACTATATCCTTAGAGATTAATTACTGTAGTGACCTTTTTATGCATTTAAGGTGACTGATTTTTTTTTTCAGGTGCAGGGCACCCAGTAAACCACCAGAGAGCAAATAGGGTTTTGGGGAGAGACAGCCCCTGCTGCATGGCGGCACTTGGGTCCCAGTTTGAGGCAGCCCATTTGGGTCCCAGTTTGAGGCAGCCCATTTGGGTCCCAGTTTGAGAAAGCCCATTTGGGTCCCAGTTTGAGAAAGCCCATTTGGGTCCCAGTTTGAGGCAGCACATTTGGGGCCCAGTTTGAGGCAGCACATTTGG